GTCACAGCTCGCACACAGTACACACACACACACACACACACACACACACACACACGGGCAGACACAGTCCTCTCAAGCCTGACGGTGGTCCTCCTTGGAATCTCTTTAAGGAGCCACTGCCATGCTGGGGCCGTAGGAAAGCCTTCTCTCTGGGCCCTTGCTTTTTTTCTTCCTGAGCTGGGGGCTCAAGTCCGACCTCAGCAGGCTGGTACTACTCACCCACATCAGGCCCCTGCATATTAACCCCAGAACATCCCAATCCCCAAATTAAAGAACAAGTATTCCTGTAAGATTTGGAGGTTCTCCCTCTATCCCACAGCTTGAACCTCTATGGAAACAATTCACATGCTGGCCAGTCCACGAAGCTGCCAACATTTCCTCAACTGCAACACTGAAGCTAGTGTCTCGTCTGGCAGGTGGCAGCCAGGTGTGTAGGGGAAGACCAAGTAAGTAACCTCCCACTTTCAAACCTCTGATTTGCTGATTGATAAGTGCCTTTGGCTGTTGAAAAGATGCAAACATTAGACACATAAAGCACCTGGCAGGTGCCAAGCACAGGTAGGCATTAACAAATGCTGCCTCCTTCCCACGTTGCTCAGGAGGTCCGCATGCTCTTGGATGGGCTAGCCCTTATTTCCGTAGTGGCTTCAAAGCCATACCAAGGCCATGTTGGACATGGGACCAGGAAACAGATTCTTAACCTAAGTTCTGTCCACAGACTTCCCTGTCACTTGTCTCCATTTCTCCATTTGCTAAGTGGAAGCATTTGCAATTGGCCTCTGCCACTTGGCGTTTCCAAAAGGCCTAGGCCCAGTGTCATCCTCAGAGGCTTGTGGGGGGCTTATGCTGCCGCCTCTTAGGTCACGTGTTGCCCTTCTTGTGGAATAAGAATTCCATCTTATACGTGTATTGAGTTAGCAGTTCACCAAGCACTCCCACTTCATGGCCCTGGGTTAATTGGTCTTAGCAATGATGCTGCATCAGGTCAGGTGTTCAGATCCCCATTTCAGAGCTGGGGAGAGTGACTGTCAGAGAGGAATAGGGCTTGTCTGGGACACTGTCGGTGGGTAACTGGAAAAGCTAGGTGTCCTGACTGCTAGTGCTTCCTTCTGAAGGAGGCGTCATGGTGGTGACAAGGGCTCTGAGGCAAACAGCCCCATGCCTCAGTTTCCCCAAATGTAAAATGGAGATAATAAAAATATATCTGATGATTGCTGTGAGAGTCAGGAAGGGTGTGTGTGTGACAGCATGACGACTGCTGTTGTCATTGTTACTGTGGATGCTGAGTGTGCTGCCCAGACCTCCTACCTGCCCGTGGGAACAGGCCACTGCTGAGAGGTCACAGCTCATCTCCAAGGGAAGCCTGCATCCAGTGGCCAGTCAGTCTGGGAATGGAAAGGCCTGACTCCCTCTCCAGGGCCACCCTCCCTCCAAATGGGCGAAGGCCTATGTCTGGGCTGCATCACAGCTCAACCTCACTTTCTTCACATCTCAAACTAGCTCCCGAGTAAATGCCTCGCATGCTAATCTCCACGGCATGGTAGGCTTGTGCATGCATTGAAAGTATCCTCTGCCAGTCAGGCATGAACCACAAAGTGGGTGACTTTGCATGGAACCATCACATAGAGTCCTGTCCCATGGAAAGCATCTATGTTCTTGCAACAGACCAAGATGGGAAGGCCCTCCCTCATCTAATTCCATGACCTGGCACCGCGCTGGGACCCAGCAGCTGGGGCAGTCTCCTGGCCCAGGCAAGCCTGACCCTGGGCTGTTCTGTTCTGGACACAGCCTCCTATCCCCAGTGATGCAACCCTGCCACCCAGCACAGAGTGTTCCTGTCACCCAGCACAGAGAGGCTTGCAGCTAGCCGACTGACCAGGAATCTGAAACACCGCAAGACCCTGTGGTGGGAACGCTTCTACTTTCCCATTGAAAGCCACTGGCCTCAGAAAGGGAAGCATTCCCAGGTGACAGACATTTGGGGCAGGGCTTCCCACACTCAAACCCCTGTCACACGAAACAACCAACAGAGACACCTGATGGTTCCAATTGCTCTTTGGATAATATATAGGGATAAGAAGCCATAATTATGGCCAGCTCCCCAGAGAAGAGTACAATGTAGGAAGGAAAACACAAACTGAAAGAGTTACTAAACTTGTTCCCATGCCTTTCCTATGGGAAGTCCTGACACCCCTATTCTGCCACAAGTCTAGGGTCCTTGAAGGGGTAAACGGATAAGGATGTATAGGCCAGGCCCCTTACCCTGTGGGCCCTTCAAGTTGCCTTCTGTCCTGACCACTGCACTTGGTGTTGAGCACTCAGGCCTGCCTATACCCCAGCCATGCTACTTCTCACTTCCTCTTGCCAGGCTGTCCCATCTCCCTCTGAGACCCCACTCCAAGCCCTGTGGGTTGGGTGTTCCTGCTCTGTGCTCCCTGTATTCAGGTCCACAGCACCCTGCGATGTGGTTTCTGGAGGTGTGGACACTGAGCCCTGGAGGACAAGGACATACCCACCACACTCACCTCTGTCCTCAGGGTCTCAGGTCACACTTGTCAGGTGTGTGAGGACCAGCGCACATTCGGTTTTGTTGTGATTGCTAGTTATCCATATAGCTGACAGCTCTGAGCAAAGAGGCACCACACCTTTTCCTTAAGCCTCAGCTCCCAGGACACCAGGAGGGTCGATTGCTCTGACCTAGCTCTGCCTTCTGTTCTTGTGCTGTCTGAGGATGGAGGGGTTGGAGGGTGTGAGAAAAGGAGGAGCAGGTCTCCAGAACAAGGCAGATGTCGGCAGACTGATGGGGTCCTGTGGGGAACTGGGGGGTGGCCTGGATGGGGGAGCTGCTGTGCCCACCTGGAACCCAGCCTCTGCATTTTCATTTTCATTTACCAGACTTCTCAGTCCCCTTGCATCACTTGTTGGCTTTTACAGGATTATCTCATGCCTGACTCTGATTGCAGGAAACAGACTTGCTTGAGCTTCTATTATAAAGGAGAATTTATGAAACAGGACATGGTGACAGGAAGCATAGCCGGATCTCAGGAGAGACTGTAACTGGGAACAGGAAGTTCATGGGCCACAAAGCAGTCATGATGGTCTGTCAACCGCCCCCTCTGTCTGCATCTGGGCTTCATTCTGAACCACTCTGTGTGACCCTGAGGACATCTGTGAAACTGGGGTCAGACAGTGCCCATCTCATAGAATGGCTTAGGCCAGAGATGGCCAACATAAGGAGGCAATAGTGTGATCCTCTGGGTGCCAGACCCACTTCCTGGAGTGGTTCTCCGATGTGATAATAGATACAGACTCCACAGTGTCTCACTGGCAGGTGTCCTGGATGCCCCAATGCTCAACTTTCCAGATTTACAAAATCTAGTTCCTGATTGGAACAGGCGTTTCTCTACAGAAGCTGCCTCAGAAGTCCCCCGCCTGGCTCAGAGGCCTTCGTGCAGCTGTGAGCCCAGCTGAAGAGCAGGAAGTAAAGGTGTGGGAAGTCCCTGCGGTCGGTCCGAGCACCCAGGATGGGGTTCCACCCGCCCCCTGCACCTCCCAGCCAGATTTCAGGCCTGTGGGCTGAGTGAAGGGACTCTGGGCACAAGTCCAGGCCCCAGAGACAGGGTAGGGGTCCGAGAAGGGCCCAGCAGACTCCTCTGGACATGTTTAAGGATAAGGAGTGAGCGTGCCCATCCTTCCCCATGGGAGAGACAGGCTTGACGGCCGCCTTCTGAGACAGGGCCAGGCATGCCTACCTCTCCCTTTGCTTCCTCTGCCCTAAGGCAGTACCCACGCAAGGCCCTCTTTCCATGCACTCTGGGCACGAAGCACTTTATAGCATGCCTGTCATTCCTGGTTAGCCTGCCTCTAATCTAAGGTGGGGTGGGGAATGCCGGCCCTTTTACAGCTATTGGACTGAGGCCTAGAGAACAGAGGGGATGTGTCAAGAGTGCAGACCTGGGGACAGCAGCCAGGACTTTCATTCTCTCAAAAGAGCCCTTGCCGCTGTTTCCCCAGGTGTCTACCCAGATGACTTTAAGGGTTCTGAGTGGCCTTCCCTTAATGACAGGGTCCAGGGGCATGAAGCCAGAGAGCAGGTTCTGGATGGCCAAGAGGAGAAGGTTCCGAACACAGGGTCTTCTAGTGAAGGCAGGGGAGTATCTGGCCTTGAGGTCAGCATCACACAGGCACCAAGAATGCAGAGCCTGAAGTAACTGGGAAAGGCATGGATGCCCTTTGCTCCCTAAGCCATACCCCAACCACGTGATCCTCACACCATGAAGAACCGCACACACCCAGGAGCCTTCGCAATTGCTGTTCCCTCCACCTGGAACATGTTCCTTTTTTTTCAGCTCAACGTCACCTTCTCTGAGAGGCCTTCCCTGACCACTTTCCCTACAGCACGTACCCACCTGGATATCCCTCAGAAACATTGTGTTTTGATTTCCTTCATAACACTTAGCAGCATATAAAGTTGGTTTGCTTATTTACTTCTTTCCTGTCTGCCTTCCTCCATTAGAATATCAGCAAACTTGCCCAGCCAGTATGGCTCAGTGGTTGAGCATCCACCTATGAACTGGGAGATCATGGTTTGATTCCTGATCAGGACACATACTTGGGTTACGGACTTGATCCCCAGCAGGGGATGTGCAGGAGGCAACCAATCTCATCATTGATGTTTCTATCTCTCTCCCCCTCTCCTTCTTCTCTGAAATCAATACAAATATATTAAAATGTATAAAAAAAAAAGAATATCAGAGATCTTGTCTGGCTGGAGGAGTGGCTGGCACATGGTCCATATTGTCTGCATCTATGGACCCATGCATGAACTGGTGGCATTTGGGTGGGGTGGGCACACAGGCCCAGCCCCACTGGTCCAGCTCAGGCCCTCTTGTGACCTCCAGTCTTGTGCAGATAAGAACCAGTTTGGCTTCTGTTAACCTGAGTCACCATTCTGGCAGCAGGGCATGGCCAGCCTGCGTGGGTGTGTGGAAGGCAGCTGCACTCTCCTGCCTCTTCCCAGGTCTCGGGAAGAAGCAGAAGCTTCCAGGAGGCAGTGGTGCACAGGTACAGCCTCGTGTCCTTTCTACACAGAAGCCTGGGCTGGAGCCAGCAGCTGGAAGACCTCAGAAGACCTTGTATTCTCTCAGGTCCAACCATGGCTTCAGGTAAGCTCCTTCCACTCTTGTATTTTTCATCTGAAAAATGGGGAGGAAAATGTCCACCACTGGTGTTTGCCAAATGCTTTCAGGCTCTGAGAAACAAGTTTCCAGGGAAATGGTAGGGGCGTGAAGCTCCAGACCTGCCTGGGTGACCTGGCCATGCGGGAGGCCACAGCGCCAAGGGGAGGCTGTGCGGTTGTGGTGCCACCAGCAGGTGAACAGGAAACTCGCCAGACGGGAGGAACACCTTGGTACTCCTAGAGTCTATGGCTCATTTCCCCCTGTTGATAGAGACATAGGAATTTGGGAGGTATTTCTTTAAAATGAGAGGAAGGACAGTGTAAGCTCAGAGGAACACTGAGAGAAGCTGGGATTGGCCACGAGATCTAAGGGGTAACAGGGAGGGTGTCAGCTGTCACTAGTTAATTCCATCATTGTCCCATGAGAATGTGGGCCCAATTAGACAGAACTTATTTTCAAGAGTCAGAGATTCTGATTTTGGTATGTGTAGTATTTTGATTAAATAAAGTCATCAAATAAAATAATCTATGGGCTATTGGTTTGCAAACTCTTGTTAGGATCTGTGTGAGAAAAGAAGTGCTGACTTCAAACTGAAGTATGGGTGCAAGAAACAAAACCACTTACAATTTGCTATATATTATAATAAATATTGATTAAATGATGGGTTCCTTAAAAGCAAGTATTATAGGTTCATGCATTTCATTTTATTTCTGTTGTTTCTGTCATGTTTAGTCTTTTAAGCTATTTATTCTGTTAATAATAACTCATAAGCTAGAACAACAATAAAAAAAAAAAGCTAAAATATGAATATATAAGAACCCTGGGTGTAATGACCTATAACGACTGAGGCTCAACCAGTGCTGAGCTGTGGCAACCCAGTGCTGACTGCTTCCACTGCAGGCCTGGTGCCCCAGCACTAACTGCTGAGGGAGGGCCAGAAAGAGGCCTGAAGAGAGAAGCAGGGTCTGATCTGTAGCTACTGTGGCAGCTTTTAATCAGCGCTTGCCTCTCTTTTTCTCTCCCAGTTTTGCCAGAGCTGGGCCTCCATTTCTCTCCAGGCTTCCATTGGGGTTGCTTATCAGCCCTGCCTTTCTAATCCTGCCCCATTCATAGGCCTAGAGATGCTGACTGACATAGAAACAAATCTGGGTGAAATGTGAGGAGATAGTGGCTGCCTAGGAGGCAGAGCTTTTGACACTGATTGACATAGAAACAGACCAATCAGAACCAAATTGACTGTCTGTGTGGGGCACAGAAAATATCTTAGGATTGGTGGTCTGAGGATGCAGTTTCCAATTCTAAGATGGCCTCTAATGAGTAAACTATTTTTCCTTCTGGGTCTCACTTGCCTCAATGTCAAGAGTAGGTTAGCCAACCCTGAGGGTTTCATGAACCCAGTGCAGGTGTATTTGGGTTTATGGTGCTTCACTTTGTTGCACTTTGCAGATACTGCATTTTTTACAAATTGATCATTTGTGGCAACCCTTCATTCAGCTAGTCTGTCAGTGCCATTTTTTCAACAGCTTTGTTCACCTCATGTATCTGCGTCACATTTTGGCATTGTAATATTTCAGACTCTATTTTCCTATGTGTTTTGGTGATCTGTGACCAGCGATGTTTGATGTTCCCATGGTCATTGCTTTTGGCACCACATATAAGATTGATAAATGTTGTAAGTGTTCCCAGTGCTCCACCAACTGGCAGTTCCCCTGTCTCTCTCCCTCTCCTCGGGCCTTTCTAGTCCCTGAGACACAATAATATTATAATCAGGCCAATTAGTAACCTTACAATTGCCTCCAAGTTCATGTGGAAGGAAGCATTGCACACCTCCCCTGGTGACGATGCTGTGAAGATTGTTGAAATGACAACAAAGGATTTAGAATATCACATATGCTTATTGGCAAATCAGCAGCAGAATTCGAAGAACTAACTCCAATTCTGAAAGAAGCTCTACTGTGTGTCACATGCTATCAGACAGCTCTGCATGCTACCAAGAAGCTTTTGTAAAAGGAGGAGTTGGCTGATGTGGTTAACCTCATCGTCTTATTTTAAAAAACTGGACAGCCACCCACCTTGAGCATCTGGCCATCAGCATCAAAAAAAATAAAACAAAACTTGGACTTGCTGAAGACTCAGATGGTGGTTAGCGTTTTTAGCAGTAAAGTATTTTTAATTGAGGTATGTACATTGTTTTTTAGACATAATGCTATAGTACCCTCAATAGACTATAGTAGATACATAACGTTCATATGCACACAAAAAAGAAAAGTCTGTGTGCCTCACTTCATTGCGGGGTGTGCTTTATCGCCGTGGTCTGGGACCAAACCTGCAAGATCTCCAAGGTATGCTGTTGTAGCAAAAGTGTCCATTGGGCTCACTGCAAACCAGGTGCTCTACTGAACTCTTCACATGGTTTATCTTATTTTATTTAACCCTCATAACAACTATGTGGGAAGGACTATCATTGTTCACATTCCATAAGAGGAAACTGGGGCATAGAGAGGTTAAGGGATTTGCTCAAGACCAGGCATTTCTGTAATGGAAGGAGTCTGGCCTGACTGCAGACAGTCCTGTCTCCCCACTGTGCTATGCTGCAGGGGCCTGAGACCCAAGGAGACCATGGAAGAAGTGTTTGGTGAACAACAAGGGATTATTCCAAGGGAAACAAGCCCCCATCTCCCCACCAGGGGGTGGAGCAGTCTCTAGAGCGATATGCTACTATGTTAGGCCATGGGCCTGTGCATTTTTTCCAATGCGTAAAAGAGGATGCTGGACCCCTTCCAGACTGTGAAAAAGTAAATCACTATACTGTGAAATCACTATACTGTGAAAAACATTATTGCACCTAAAATGGTTTCTTCCAAAATATTTTAAAGACACATGGATACTAACTAAATGTATCTGCACTTGAGTTGAATTGAATTAAGGAGACAGTACATGTAAGCCCTGTGAGGACACCACTTCCTGGGAAGAGGAATCCCATCTCCATCTCAGGCTATGTAGAGAACAGGGTTCTGAGGAGAGAGGGCACGGAGAGATGCTTGGTTTGACTAAAGTGCTGGGAGAGCAGGGACAGAGGAGCAAAATGCAGGTGGGTCACCCAGTGCACAACTTGGGCAAGTCACCTACCTTACTGGGCCCTCGGGCATCCCTGTACCACTGACTTAGGGTAAGTCCTTTTTAGGACCCAAGTTTGAAAATAATTTTAAGTTGCTAGATATTGACTATATAGTGATTACATAGTTGGAGGCTATTAATATGAATTGATAAATTTAAAATTAATTGATCACTACTGTATCTATTATGGTTACTACTGTATCTACTATGGAATTTTCTTGAGTGGAATTTTCAAATTTGGGGGGTGGGCATCTTGTGTGCTTTATCTATATGTCTATTTATCTAATAAAATGGACCACATTTCTGCTGCTCAAAACACGCTAAATAGTCCTAGCTAGTGTGGCTCAGTTGGTTGGAATGTTGTTCAGTGCACCAAAGGGTTGAAGATTCAATTCCTGATCAGGGTACATACCCAGGTTGGGGGTTTGATCCCCAGTCAGGTACAGAGGGGAAACAATTAATCTATATTTCTCTATCACATCAATGTTTCTCTCTCTCTTTTCCTCTCCCTTCCTCTCTCTCTTAAAAACACACACACTGTGGTGAGGATTAAAACAAAAAAAAACCAACAAAAACCCCACACCCAACAGGCAAGATACAATGCTTGTGAATTATACCTGCAATTTGGGGAATTAGCTACCAGATGGTGATAGCACTTTTTAAGGACTCCTGTAATATGGTGATCATATCAGTTTTCCAAGGACTGAGGAGTTCCCAAGTTGTGGGACTTTCAGTACCAATACTGGCAAAGTCCTGGAAAGACCAGGGTAAGTGGCCACCCTAGTCTGTAAACAGGGAAGAAGCTTTCTCCTTAGCACATGTAAGGTTTTAGACCATCCTTTCCTTATACCAAAACAAAATAAAACACTAAAAGGTCAAAGCAATTATGGAATTAACTGTTGGTCTGTAACTTATGAGTTGAAACAGAAAGGAACACCATAAGAACAAATGTAATTCTTGCTTCTGTGAGCTGTGAAATGAAGCAGAGAAGAAAAGCCAGATGCCGCACAGGCAGAGCAGTGGTGTGGGGTGGGGTATAGGAACTGGGTTCAAATCCTGCCTCAGTCAGGATCTGGGCAAGTGATTTTATCATTCTGAATGTTGATTTCTTTCTTTCTTTCTTTCTTTCTTTCTTTCTTTCTTTCTTTCTTTCTTTCTTTCTTTCTTTCTTTCTTTTTAAAATATATTTTATTGATTTTGTACAGAGAGGAAGGGAGAGAGATAGAGAGCTAGAAACATCGATGAGAGAGAGTCATCGATCAGCTGCCTCTTGCACACCCCTTACTGGGGATATGCCCACAACCAAGTTACATGTCCTTGACCGGAATCGAACCCGGGACCCCTCAATCCTCAAGCCAACTCTCTATCCATTGAGCCAAACTGGTCTCGGCTGAATGTTGATTTCTTATACTACAGAGTGAGTATATGTATTTGCCACTCTCAAAAGTGTATGCAAACGTGTCCGCCTTGCACAGCTTGTTATTGTCATGTTTTAAGGACCCACGAGATCGGTATGAGAGAGGAGAACCCAGAGTCTGAGCACAGTAGGCAGAGACAGCTCCCTCTGTCCCAAGTGCCCATCCCTCTCCTCCTGCCTGGGAGAAGCTGCCTTAGAAAGCTTATCATTGGAGCCAAGTTGGCAAGAGCAAACATGTCCCTCTGGAAATCCAAGATAACTAGATTTTAAAAAGAATGGTGTTCAGTGCAGATCCACATCAAATCCAGAAGCTGCTGGGCCAAACCCATCTTGGAAGAAGCTGAGCAAGGACTCACTGTCGGTTGACCACTTTGACTTGGAAGGAGAGAGGGTTCCTATAGCAGAGATTGTAACAGTCAGCTTTACATACACACACACACACACACACACACACACACTCCTGATTGCTCTTCACCGGCTGGACAGCAGATATGGTCATCCTGATGCTGTGCTTAGTGGGCAGAGATGCCCAGGAGAATCTGACCAGCTGCTGTAGGGAGCTTCCAATAAGCTGCTGATTTGGTGAAAATGAACTTGATAACCCACCAGGGCTGGGGAGTTGACAGATGCAGGGACACCTCTCCCACCTGGCAACTGTCAAAGTGTTCTCTGTATTAAGTCTGTTTCTGCTTGTTCATTTATTTTTATTTTTCAGATTTAGTTATTGATATATATACATTTATTGCCATTTTATTGCTCATCTTTTTTTTAATCTTTTTTCTCTTCTTCTTAAAGAAGACCCTTTAATATTTCATGTAATATTGTTTTGGTGGTGATGAACTACTTTAGCTATTTCCTGTCTGGGAAGCTCTTTATCTGTCCTTAGATTCTAAATGATAACTTTGCTGTGTGGAGTAATCTTGGTTGTAGATCCATGTTGTTCATCATTTTGAATAATTTTTTGCCAATCCCTTCTGGTCTGCAAAATTTCTGCTGATAGTTTTATGGTAGCTCTCTCATAGATCAGTGGTTGCTAACATTTTGGACTTCATGAACTATCATTGGTTTCTGAACCAACAGTTGGCAACTGTTGATTTAGATAACCCCACCTCCTGCCCCCCCCCCCCCAACTTTTACCCTGATGCCAGACAATTGAGTTTCTCCTATATGTCCCTGGTTTTATTCAAATTACTGCCCCAGAGCTGGAACTCAGAGGGAGTGTGTCCAAATCCATATATGGCCCCTTTGAGAGGAACTGCCTGGGACTTCAGCAGCCTCCATCTCAGCCACAATCCCCACTGGTTTTTACACCCAGAACTTATGGGGACTTCTCTTCCTGGCTCTGGAACCCTGGATTGGTATACCTGGTGTGAGGTTGAGACCCCTCACTTCTCAGGAGGGACCTTCGCAGCCAAGACATCACTTCTTATTTTATTTTATTTTTCTCCTTTATTTTTAAAAATACATTTTTATTGATTTTGGAGAGGAGAGAGAGAGAGAGAAGAGTCAACGATGAGAGAGAATCATTGATCAGCTGCCTTCTGCATGCCCCACACTGGGTATTAGGCACACAACTCAAGCATATGCCCTAATCAGGAATTGAACTGTGACCTCCTGGTTCATAGTTTGACATTCGACCAATGGTTCATCCCGGCCAGGCTGTGGCTTCTTTAAATCCCTAGTTGTATGACACCTATTCAGCTAGATTTCAGGCAGTTCTGAATGATGATTGTTCTGTAGTTCAGCGGTAATTTTGATGTGATTGTGGAAGGATTAGAGGACTGCATCTACCTACACAACCATCTTGACCAGAAATGTCTGGCCAAGGCTTTGAGAAACTGCAAAGGCCCAGCGAGTTGGAGCTCGGCATCAGGGCCTTTACCCCATTTGCTGCGCTGAATGCATTTGCTGGTTTCAAAAGCTGTGGCTGGTCTTTGAACAGACTCGTGGGGCTTGGGGATGAGGAAGATAACATTTGCCTTTATCTCCCACTGAGGAGGAGGGGCCTAGATAAATGCCACAGATTTGGGCTAGGACTCTGGAGGATGAGGAGTGGACAGAAGTGGAGCAGTCCACACAGTGACTGTGTTATCTCCAGTCCTGCCTGGGGGAAGGGCACCTGGGCTGCAGTGCCCTGGCCTCACTGCCCAGTGGAAGCCAAAGTGAATCATCTCTGGATACCTACAACTTCGTCCAGGGCCTCATGTGATCCCAACAGTGTTTGCTATACGGTGTTCAGCAGTCAGCAACCTGTTGTCAGGCACAGACAAGGCAACCTGCCCAGGAACAAAACAGACAATAGGAGGAGGCCCAGCAGAGCTCCAACGAGGGTGTTATCAGGAGCAGCCTTTACATGAACCACAAAAAAATGTTGAAAATGTCAAAGACAAGATGGAAACTTTTGGCAGAAAACTAGAAACTACAAGAAAGAAACCAACTGTAAACTGCAGAACAGAAAGAACTGAAACTCAGAGAGACAGATGGCGTTCGTGTGAATGTCGGCCTGTTGAATGCTGTACTGGCGTCAACAAGCAGGGCTCCCCCTGGAGACCTGCCTACTGCCCCTCCTGGGACCTGGCCAACCTGGTGTTTCTGTCTCTCTGTAAGTGGGATTTGGTCGTTCCTGCTGTCACAAGTGTCCTGTCAGGGAGGGCTCAGCATGGAAGGCACTTGACATACCTGTGATGCCTGCAGCTCAGAGGGAGGGACAAGAGGCGACTGACTGGGAGGGCCAAGCCCATTGTGTGATGTCATTGGACTTAATTCAGGAAGCAGTGTGAGGGACTGAGCACTAGAAATGAGAATGAGTTTAGTCAGAGGTTTCCTGTGGGCAGAAATCGTAAGGACATCAACTGTCTTAAGAGGGAACCAAGAGTAGAACTGTGGCCAGAAGCGTGAGTAGAGGAGGGAGCTGCCCCTCCCTCTGCTTCCTCCTACACCAAGGAGTGAGGGCTGGAGTCCTGGGCAGTGTAGACAGTCAGGGCATTGTGATTGCCCTCACCACTTTACCTGGGATGAAAAGCACACTCAATAATAATCCATTGTTTGAGTGTTTCCTCTGTGACCACCATGTGCAGCACCTCAGTCCTCATAGCAACCCATTGTAAGGTGTCTATTAGTAGCCCAGCTAATGGAGAGCTTGGGCACATACATGTCCCAGTGGCCCAACTCAGGAATGATGAAGGAGGACGAAGCCCAGGTTGCCTGACTTCAAGCCAGGCCCAAGAATCCCTACCTAGACCCAGGAAGGCCTGCGGGCCACTTCTCAGGTGCAGTGGGCAAAGGGCATATGCATGGGAAAGTTGGGAACCCAGGCTTCGGCTCTCCAGGAGCCGAACTTGGATTGGGGGCCAAGGAACATATTCGGGAGCCAAACTGTGGGCAGGCCTTTGACTGTGGGTTCATACCCATCACCTCCTTCAAGCAGCCCTCCCTAAAATTAACAAGAACAAATCACCCCCTGGTCCTCAAAGGCAGATACAATTTCTCAAACATGCTGCAGAGAGTCAACGACTCCCACCAACCAAAGGCTGTGGCAACAGAGCAGGGCACATAGGAGCCATCTGCCATCCTAAGCAAATGCTCAGGGAGGTGATACGGTTTTTGCAGAAATATTCCATTTGTTCTCATGAGGAGCTTTTTAAAGATTTTGTAGCCTTCCTCTTTATTTTTATTTTTTTATTGATGTGTGATTGACATATTGATTTTGGGTGTAGGACACAATGATTTGCCTGTCACCACACATGGTTATATAATTTTTTTTCCCTTCCCTTGCCTCCCTCCCTCCTCACACTATGGGTAAGATATGATGGGCCTCATTCTGCATGTGAGGAGACAGAGCTGAAATCAGAGAAATGATTTGTTCAAGGGCACACAAGTGGCTATGGGAGAGGGGCAGGGGGGGATTTGGACCCACTTCTGACCCAGAGCTGAGTTCACCCAGGGTCCCAGGACCATAACCTCAGACACGTGAAGGCAGGAGCAGAGCTGGTGTCAAAGCCCCTCCCAGGCAGCTGGCTCTGGAGCAGGAGTAGCAAACGTTCAGCAAAGCCGCCACATGTTTCTGTAAATCAGGTCACACGGAACTCACCCAGCTTGTTCAGTGACGGACTGTTTACTGCCTTTGAACTACAATTCTGAGTTGAGAAATCACAAGACTGTGTGGCCCACAAATCCCAAAATGTTTACTATTTGGTCCTTTCACAGCCCTGGTCCAGAGTCCAGCTAGGTCGTCCCTCCTTCTGTGAACACCACGTGACAGGAGATGGTCCCTGTGCTCGGCCCTGACACTCAGTATTAGGAAAGGGGACATTTTCACTCGAATTTGTAGTTTTTTAAAAATTGAATTGATTGGGGGGACATTGGTTTATAAAACCATACAGGTTTCAAGTGTACAACTCAACAAAACCTCCTCTGCACACTGCATCGTGCACACATCCCCCCAGGCAAAGTCTCTTTCTCTCCCCATCCCACCCCTTTGCCCACCTCCTCCCAGCCTCCACACCCCCCTTCCCTCTGGCCATCACCACACTGTTGTGTGTGTCCTTGGGCTACGCATATACGCTCTTTGGCTAATCCCCATCACCTTCCTCCATCCAGTCTCTCCTCTCCCCTCTGGCATCTGTCTGTCTGTCTGTCCCGGTATCCATGCCTCAGGTTCTTCACCTTTGTTTTAGGTTGGCCAACAGTCCCTGGACACCTGTCAGGCAGATGACAGTGTTTGGTTAAGTTGTGCTTTTCTTCCCAGGAACTCAGTGAAGGGAAATGGAGTTCTCCATTTTGGGGAAATTACACCAGGGAAAAGGGGAGGGTTGGTTACAACACTGCGTTGCGACACACGGAAGGCCTGACCGTGACAACAGCAAGCGTTTCTCTTTTTTGGAATTGTGAAGGCATTTCCGTTTCTGCTGGTTTGGTGAGTGGCTACCTTCTTTATAAGCAGCTCCTCTGGCCCAGAATGGCAGTCCTTGTTGCACGAGGCGCCCCAGGATGGAAATCTGCAGGTGCCCCCTCAGTCACCTAATCTCTCTCCTCCTCTTCCTGTTCCCTTCAGAGACAGCCTGCCACCCTTCAGGCAGGAGGACCAGCATGATGCAAGCCTTCAGGTAAGGCCCACGGAAGAGGTGGGGGACGTCTCTGTCAGGCAGGAAAGGGATGTCCATTATTGCAAAAAGGGGCGAGCACGTGTGGAGCCTGCAGGGCTTGTGTTTCAGAATGTCCCAGATGTGCAAGCGTGGCTGGCTTTGAGGCCTGCCTGACGTTCCCAGAGACCCTGGCAACTCAGCAGGTGACAGACATGTGCCCAAGAGCCTGGCTGGGGTTTGGGCTGAGTGTGCTGGGCAGAGAAGCAGAGAGGGCGCCAGGGACAGGGTGGCTACGGGTTCTAGATGGTGGTTAGCAGTGTCTGCCTGTGCTCACAGTGGAAGATCCTGTCCCCTGGAGCCTCAGTTTCCTCACCTGTGACAGGGGGTTTACAATGACTCCCTGCCCACCTGTGAAGGTCACAGTGTGACTGTGCTCTGTGAACTATAAAGTATCCCCATAGGGTTATGATTTTTAGCGACTGGGTCAGGAGCTTTGTGAGACATCACTGACCATCACTGCCGTAAAGATGATAGGCTGCGACGTATCTGCAAATGCCTTCTAACCTGCTTCCCAGGACTGAGCTGCTCTGGGTGACTTCACCCCCAGTGCTGGGTGTCTCTGGCTGGGGCTGCAGGACAGACTGTGTGCATGTGTATCCAGAGGTGGGAAGTTTGCTCTGCCTCCTCCTGTGGGTGGGGAGCTCCAGGAGATGCCCCAGGAGACTCCAGTCCAGACTGTTCGACCCTTCAGATGGACACTCCTCCGGAACTAGAATCATTACAAAAGGTCAATGTGTCCACATGCAGAGAACTTTAGTTTGCCTGACCAACCACCCAGCTTGTGAGCTCCTCAAAGCTCCCTGGGGAGGCGGGGCTGTCAGCCACCATTCATAGGACAGGAGGAGAGGCACAGGCCACGGTTGGGCTGGTGGGCAGCAGAGAGTAGACAGGCTCCAGTGGACAAGCTCTTCGCTGAGAAGAATGAACCAGGAGATAGAAACAGGTTCCTGGGTGAGCTGGATGGGAAGCTGACTGCTACCAGGGATGCTGCCCCTGTCAGACCCAGCACAGGCCCTGGTGTGGAGACAGGCTCTGGGACAGACACCCAGGTCACTATCAAGTCCTCTGTGCCTTGAAACGCTGGTCTCAGATGACTCTAAGTCAGCGTTTTTCAACCGCTGTTCCGCGGCACACTAGTGTGCAGCAAGATGTTGCCTGGTGTGCCGTAGGTGCAGACAAGACAAGAATTTTATAATTTTTCACTATTTTGTTTACTTAATATTTCATAATAAAGTAATTATAAAATACTTTCTTTGTGTTTATTTGATTCCTATTCAAGAGAATTACTTTATATATAGTCAATATAGGCACAGAGTTAAATTTTTTAACATTTTCTAATGGTGGTGTGCCTCGTGATTTTTTTCATGAAACAAGTGTGCCTTTGTCCAAAAAAGGTTGAAAAACACTGCTCTAAGTGTACATTTAAATTAATAGCTAAAAAACTTAAATTAATAAAAGTAAAATAAAATTTTAAAATGCAGATCCTCAGACGCACCACCTTCCAGGAGCTCCATAGCCATGGTGGCCGGTGGCCTGTGTGGGGCAGTGGACAGACTCTGTGCCCCTGGCAGTCCTACTGGCAGGGGCTGCACCAGGGCTGAGGTCCAGGCACCTGTGAAGGGGAGCAGGGCGAGGAGTGGGCTTGTCTACTGGCTGGGGCCACCACAACTGCCTCCTCATGCGGTGGGTGTGGGAAACACCGCTCCCCAGCAGAAGGTTGGGTGCAGACTTAGGGAGCTCTGGGGAAACCAGAAGGGGCTGAGCCCAGGGCCGGGTACAACCTTGTCCAGTACAGAGGGCCCTTTCGCTTTTCAGAATCTGGGATGTTAACCAGAAGACCTTCTACATGAGGAACAACCAACTAGTTGCTGGATACTTGCAAGGATCAAATACGAAACTAGAAGGTGAGTGGCTGTCAGGAACGCCAATGTGTGTGCCCTGGGTCAGGGGCACTGTGGCTCCTGGTCCACTGGGGAGGCGGGCCCCTGGAGGGCACAGTCGAGGGCAGGGAGGGGAGATATAGCTGGGGAGCCTCCACCTGCAGGCACTGTGCTCACAGGGCCACAACTCCAGGGGTGGGATGGAGGGGGCAGAAGGCTAGGTAGAGCCTTGCCTTCCTCCTGCGCCCAGTCAGACCCCACGTCCCTGTGGTTTACTCTCACTCACTTCCACAGTGAACACAGCACACACAGCTGGGCTGGGTCCCTTCCTCATGCACACAATCAGCAAGTTTCGGGCCAGGTCCCAAATAAGTCAGATGGACTCAGGCAGCCGTCCTAGTCTATGCCTCAGTTTCCCTTTAGTTCCATGAGGGCAGGTGGATGACGTGGTGGGAGAGTGTCAGCACTGGTCTTTTGGGAAGTTTCCACATGCTGTGTCTGTGGGCTTGGCATCCCCTCCATCTCTTCCTGCTGCCTCCCCTGCTCTCCACGCTCCTCCTCCCCCACCCCCATTGACCCACCTTTCCAGTCCTGGAATTGCTCCTAATAAACACCCTGCAGTGAGGCCCAGAGACACTGAGGGGAGAGGTGGGTCAGGGATGCCAAGCCCTGGGGTCCCTCTCAGGACCTCATGCGCGCTTTTCCCTGCCCATGAGCAGCACACCTCGACCCGGCACGCAGGTCTCCCTCCGGGGATTGAGGGAAGATAGACATCGGGTGGAGCAGAACCTAGGCAACTTGGTCCGAAGGAGCAGCTAGGTAACTGCTCTTGGTTGGATCTTCTGCTTGGATGTAGATCGGAAAGATGGGCCCCACAGTCCTTAAGACCTTGGGTTTAGTTTGGAGGACAGAGGAGCCCCGGGAAGCATCCAGGCTCTCTCCACCAGCGCTTCCTCTTATCTACAAGCTGATCTTGCCCCCTCCTCTTCCTCAGAGAAGATAGACCTGGCGCCTGTCGAGCCCCACGCTGTGCTCCTGGGCATCCATGGCAAGAAGCTGTGCCTGGCCTGCGTCAAGGTTGGCGATGAGATCCAGCTCCAGCTGGAGGTAAGCACCTGCCTGGTAACAGCCACCCCAACCAGGACCTGTATGAGATGGCATGTGCTCTTTCTGAGGGCTGTCTGGGGTCTGCCGGGCTATTCTATTTCACGGGAGGTGGCTGGGCCCGTCTAGCAGGTGCATCCAGCAGGGAGCTCGTCTGCTGGCTTCTAACAGGGATTATTCCCAAATCACACACTTATTAAATGTCTGCTTGCATCACACTGCTCATGTCCCCTTGGCCAAAGCCCGTCACATGGCTGAGTCTGCCTAAATAGGAGAGGGAGCTATACAGGGATGGGCCCCAGGAGGAGGCTCATTTGGGGACCTCGATCTCTGGTGCTGCTCTCTTGTCCAAGGGCCTCCAACCCACGAAGACTAGGCCTCTTTCAGTAAAGCCCCATGCAGACCTCTCCTTCCCAGTCCTTGGCTAATCAGACCCATGGATTGGCATGCCATCAGGGCCCTGCACTCCTTAGTCCCATGCAGGGTTCACAGGCTGCCCTCAGAACAGACGGCTCTGTCTTGGGAGAAGGTTGGGATGCAGCTTAACCCAAATGTAACCTTAGCCCAGTGGCCATACTGTGGCGCTGTCCCATCGCTCCACTCGTGGCAGGGCGACTGCCTGCCGTGTGGAGTCGGGATGGCGATGTCGGATGGGCTACAATGTCGGATGGGCCACCTTCTGTAATGCCCCCTCTTTGGAGGCACAGAGCCAACAGAGCTCAGCCTCTACTGGCCTGGGCACCCGCTGATGGGGCCTTGTGTTCATTAAACTTTCTGAGCCCTGGCCAGAGCGGTCAGATTTTCCCAAGCCAAGGTGTGTCCGTGGGCCGTGTGATCTCCCGCAGGCTCGCCAGTCAGCGTCCCACTGGCAGGTCCTGGGCTGCCTGAGGCCCCTGTGTTAGGTGGAGGGGCAGGAGGCAAAGGAGCCCTCACCTGCTCACCTCTTGGCTTCCAGGCGGTCAACATCACTGACCTGAACAAGACCACGGAGCAGAACAAGCGCTACACCTTCATCCGCTCGGACAGCGGCCCCATCACCACCTTCGAGTCGGCCGCCTACCCTGGCTGGTTCCTTTGCACGGCCCTGGAGGCCGACCAGCCTGTCAGCCTCACCAACGAGCCCCTGGAGGACATTAGGGGCACCAAGTTCTACTTCCAGCAGGACTAGTGGTGCTGTCACCCTGCCCTCGGCCAGCATATCTGGGCTCCAGATGCCCCTCCACCCTGCCCAGGGTTTCAGCCTTGTGGGGCCCGGGGAGCAGCCATGGCAGGTGGGCCCCCCAAGGAACTGAGAAACCTGGTGTCCAATTCCAACTGCAGCCCCTCAGCTGCCACAACCTTCATGCCACCCCGAGTGGTCTCTCTAAAGAGCAACTGGAACACCAGTGCCGTTCCATGCCCTTCCTGCAGTGTCACCTGTGCCTCCGACAGCACCCGGGCCACCTGCCAGCTGGACACCCTCTGCTCCCCCTCCCAGCTCCCGTCTGCCCACTGTCCACGCCCAGGTCCCAGAAGCCACCAGCTCACCTCCCACCAAGTGGCTCCCAAACCTTCTTTGTCAACCTTGGGATAGCAGTGCTTTTAGGGTCTGTGGCCAAATAAAACATAAGGATTTCATGGTATTTTCAAAGCCTCCAATTTTAGGAGGGCTTTCTTTGGGTACTGTGCCCTTCTTGGAAGGGGGTGGGAGAGTAAAACATCCATGTGTTTGTGAAAAAATTTTGATGAAAACAAGTCTCCTTTTTGCATTTCTTTCTTATTGTTGTAAGGCCCTAACTGATAAAATGAGAAGTTAATGTACCAGTGTCCCTAATTTTTTCTTTCTGAAACATTCCAGTAAGTCTGGATCCCACTACCCGGGCCCAAGCACCATCTGCACTCCAGGCCTCCCCCAGCGGTTGGCAGTGCCCCCAGTGCAGCTGGCCCCCATCCTTCTCCCTCCGGAGGCGAGAGCACTTCCACATGGAGGCTGGTCAGAGATGCCTGGTGTCTGGGTGCTGCCAGGCTGGAACAGGGACAGGGAATTGAGTGTGAGTCTCAGGTGCCTGCAGGACTGAGTGTGTGCTGGCCCTTATGTGCTTCCTGTGTCCAGTGGGAAGTTACCTGTTCCCCATCATTTAAGCTCTGTTTTACAATAAAACCTTAAAAACGCATCGACTTTTCTGGCTGTTTGCATGACGCCTGACTCAGGGCAGAGAGTGCTGGGAAACAGGATCTCCAAGGGGAACATTGCATTTGGCTCATGAGATGGGTGAACTAGACCCTAAGAATGACTGCTCATCAGATGTTCCTCAGCTAATAGTCAGTCGAGCGGGGAGTGCATCCCACTCCTGCCCAGGGTCCTGGGCTCAAGCCTCAGCTGGCCTGGCTGCTTGCTTGGTCCAAGAGAGTGGTGGCTTAGATCCGGTTCCAAAGAGGGCTCCTTAGGTCCCTCTCCCAGGAGCCTGGGAAGGAGCCCCACCTCACCTGCTCATAAACTCGACTTCTTGCCCAGCTTTAATTGAGGAGGAGCTCTCGTTGCTAAGAACAAACTACATTCAGCAGGTTAAAAGGCAACCAATTGGAGAAAGTCGTCACGATATTGTCTAGGTCTCAGATCCTGTGTGTGACGACAATGAGGCCAAGGAGGTTGGCCATCTCAGTTTCTCTTCCTTGTGTGAGAAGGCGACTATACAAGGATGAACTGACATGATGCGAGTGAAATGCTGTGTGTGATAAAAGGGCATGGGGAGTGGATATGTCTTCAGTCCTGATGAAAGGGGGAAGTTTAAGACAGAAACCCTTCAAGGCTGAATGGTCACAGCAGCAGTGAACACGTGACTCTGCTCCCATCCTGCCCTTCAGAGGTTTATGCGATGAGGTTAGTTCAAGGTGAGACAGAGAGCAGCCACACACATGAGCCCTGGGACTCTGGAGCCACTTGCTGTCTGCATGTGTGCCCCTGGATGAGATAAGGTCTTGGAGCCTCAGTCTCTTTATTGCCAAATGCAGATAACCTATAGAGAATGCAAAGGACTGCATGACCTCATTTAACCTTTGCAATCACCTTCTCTGGTAGGCACTAACATGATTTTTACTAGTATTGATGCTGGAAGAGTCAACTCTCAAAGCAATCAGCTTTAAAGCTTTGTTTTCAAAGTGTGGTCCTCAGACCACCACCACCAGCAGCAGCAGCAGCAGCAGCATTCAGAGAGTTAAAATGCAGCATCCCAAACCTCATACCAGACTCAATGACAGGATCTAATCCTAACTAGTCTCCAGGGGATTCTACATGGGTTAAAGTGTGAGAAGCTCAACACTAAAGGGCAGCACCTTTTACTAGCTCACTGCCAACACCAAGACACACACCCCCGTCCCCCCTTAGCACCTCCTGGCCCAGGCGCAGTGTTCTTTGGGACTGGAGAAGCTGTAAGCTGTTGTCATCCTCAGACATCAGTCCACACAGGCAGGGGGGATTTCCATGTTATTTTCTATGATGCATCTTAGGTACCCAGATGAGTGTGTGGTATGGCCTGGGTGCTCAGTAAATATTTGGTGAATAAATGAATTGGCAACTGATAAGTCCATAGAAATGATTGTACTACTTGGGTCAGAAAATTTGAGATGACAGGGGACTTGGGCTAGCAGAGTTTGCAGGAAGACTGGAAAAGGGGAAAAGTCCAGATGTAGGAGGTTCCTGGCACTTGGGGCTGTCCAAGAATGAAGTATGAGCATAAGGGGGCAGTGGCACACTGAAGCTTGCTGGGTGATGCTTTCACAGGCTACTTTGGGGGTGGGGGGAGCTCACAATAGGAATCTGGTCACTTGGTGGTGGTTGCTGCTTAGAGGAGAAGAGGGAAAGGGGCTGGGGAAAGGGGGCCTGTGTGTCTGGGTGATGCACTTAGCAGCACAGTGGGAATCTCAGGGACATGGGGTGTCAAAGGACAGCAGAGCTTAGGGGCTTTATGGTCTGGGTTATCCTTGGCTGGCAGATGTTAGGTACAGTTTCATGGGGAATATAAAGCAGGCAGGCTGTAAGTGGCTACAAATCTGCTTGTTTGGGTGGAGTTTAAAACAATTGGTGTGGACAGATTTGAGTTTGGCATTGGGTAGATTACTGAGCCTGAATTAATTACCCAGGATTGGTATGCAGAGGCATCTATTTGATCATTGGCCTGACTCAGAAACCATAAAAAATAACCAGTCAGAAGCGAAGAATACATTAACTGAGATGAAAAATACACCAGAAGGAATCAATAGCAGTTTAGACAAAGTAGAGGATTAAATCAGCAATTTGGAAGACAAGGTAGTAGAAAACACCCAAGCAGAGCAGCAAAAAGAAAAAGAAAAGAATTTTTAAAAATGAGCATACTAATCCTGTCCAGGTAGTTGGTTTGAAAGTCATCCTAATATGCCAAAGTTGTGGGTTCTATCCATGGGTCAGGGTTCACATAAGAATCAACTAATGAATAAATAAATAAATAAATAAATAAATAAATAAATAAATGTTTCTCTCTCTCAAATCAATCAATCAATCACATTTAAAAAATGAAGATACTATAAGGAACCTCTGGGACAACATCAAACATAATGACATCTGCATCAAAGGGGTACCAGAAGAAGAAGAGAGGTAGCAACCTATTTGAAGACCTATTTGAAGAAATAATGACTGAAAACTTCCCTAACATATAAGTCCAGGAAGTGTAGAGAGTACCAAACAAAATTAACCTAAAAAGGTCCACAATGAGACACATCACAATTAAAATGGCAAAGGTTAAGGGCAAAGAGAATTTTAAAAACAACAAGAGAAAGACAGTTATCTACATGGAGCTTCTGTAAGACTGTCAGCTGACTTCTCAAAAGAAACTTTTCAGGCCAGAAACAATTGGCATGAAATATTACAGTGATGAAAAGCATGGACCTACAACCAAGATTATTCTACTCAGCAAAGCTATCATTTAAAATTGGGGGGAAAAATAAAGAGCTTCCTAGACAAGAAAAGTTAAAGGAGTTCATCACCAACAAGCTAGTATTGCAAGAAATGTTAAAGGGACTTCTATAAGAAGAAAAAGGGGGAAAAAGAGGAGCATAATGATAAAGAATAAAATGGCAATAAATATGTACTTATCAACAGTCACTTTAAATGTAAACAGTTCCAATAAAAAGACATAGGTTAGCTGAATGGATAAGATTCATATATATGTTGTCTATAAGAAACCCACCATGGAATGAAAGATAGACACAGACTGAAAGTAAAGGGATGGAAAAAGATATTCCATGCAAATAAAAATTACACATAAAAGCTGAGGTAGTAATATTAATATTAGACAAAATAGACTTTTTTTAAAGGATAATAAGAGAAAAAAAGGTCATTACACAATTATAAAGGGAGCAAACCAACAACAGGATATAATTCTTATAAACATTTATGTACCCAACATATGAGCACCAAAATATATAAAGCAAATACTGATGGACATAAAGAGAGATATCAACAGTACTATAGTAATAGTAGGGGTCTTTAATATCCATTACATTTTTTACTTTCCAGCAAAAATATCAACAATGAAACAGAGGCCTTAAATGACACATTACACCAAATGGATTTAATTAATATTTTCAGAGAATTATAACATCAAACTGCAGAAAATACATTTTTTTCAAGTTCACATAGACCATTTTCAAGGATAGACCAAATGTTAGACCATAAGACAAGCCTCAATAAATTAAAGAAAACTAAAATCATTTCATGCATCTTCTCCAACCACAATGGTATGAAACTAGAAATCAATCACAGGAAAAAAACTAAACAACACACAAACACATACAAGTTAAATCGCATATTACTAAATAATTAATGGATTAACAATGCGATCAAGGAAAAAATCAAAGGCTACCTTGAGACAAATGAAAATGGAAACATAACGACCCCAAATCTATGGAACACAGCAAAAGCAGACCTACAAAGAAAATTCATAGCAATATAGGCCTACCTTAAGAAATTAAAAAAAAAAATTAAATTAACAATCTATCCTTATTCTTAAAGGAACTAGAAAAACAAAGCCCAAAGTGAGTAGAAAGAATGAAATAAGATCAGAGAAGAAAAAAAGAAACCGAATCTAAGAAAACAAAACAAAACAAAACAAAACAAAAAATAAATGAAACTAAGATCTGGCTCTTTGAAAACAAAACAAAACAAAACAAAAGATAAACTTTTAATCAGACTAATCAACAAAGAGAGAGAGGACCAAATAAATAAAATTAGAAATTAAAGAGAAGTAACTGACATCAAAGAAATACAAAGAATTATAAGAAAACACAAGATGTCCAAATTGGAAAGGAAGAGGTAAAACTGTCATTATTTGCTAATGACATGATCCTACATATAGAGAATCCTGAAGATTCCACCAAAAACTCACAACTAGAACTGACATCTGAATTCAGTAAAGTAGTAGGATACAAGATACATATTTAGAAATCAGTTGCATTTTTATACACCATTAATGAACTATTGGAAAGATAAACTAAGAAAACAATCCCATTTTCAATTACATAAAAAAAAAAACCCTAGAAATAAATTTAACCAAGGAGGTAAAAGACCTGTACTCAAAAAAAATTATAACCCATTGAAGAAAGAAACCAAAGAAGATACTAATAATTGGAAGCATTACTGTGCTCATACCCTGTTTCCCCCAAAATAAGACAGTGTCTTATATTAATTTTTGCTCCCAAAGATGTGCTAGGTCTTATTTTCAGGGGATGTCTTATTTTTCCATGAAGAAGAATATGGTACACATTTATTGTTAAATGAAAATAAAGGAAATTTATTACCTATATACGGTACGGTAGTACGGTACTTGTCAACACAAACAGATAAACTGTGAATCCTACAGTATCAAGAATTTACTCATCTAGTCAATGACAATCATGTCATCATCTTCTGGAACATCATCATAACAATCCAATTCCTGAATTTCCTGGTGAATTTCTTGTGACTCCATTTCTTTCAGAATCAGTGGGCCAAATCTCTCATGTTTAGCAATAGCACTGTCTTTAAATGAGTACTTCTTGTCAAGGTAGCCTGCTCACAGTGCATTTGCAATGCAACTGTCAGTGATTTTCTCCCATAAATTCTTCACCCAAGTCACAACTTCTTGCAGTTTAGGTTTCACAA